CGAATGGGCTGCGTTCCTTTTCCTCGGAATGGGCGGTTGCCAAAGTTGTTCTTTTTCCACGGACGTTGGAAATTTGGAGTCGCTCGGCGTTTGTTTTGAATTTCTCCCTCGTCTTGGGCAGCCATGAGTGCTTTGTCTACGAGTTGTCGGAAAGTGGAGGCGTCGGACATACGAATGTCCCTACGGATTTCGGGTTGGAGGCCACGAATGAAATGATTCTTCTTTTCTTCGACGTCTCGAGCGATGAATGGGGCGTAGAGGCAGCCACGTTCGAAACAGCGGATGTATTCTATCATTGGTAGGTCGCCTTGGCGGAGTTCGAGAAATTCTTTGAGTTTGTGGGCTCGCACGTCTTTCGAGAAATATTTTTCGAAGAATTGGACTTTGAAATCGGTCCATGGCAGAGTCTCGAGATTCGTTCCTTCCTTGATTCCTTCCCACCAGTGACGAGCTTCGTTTCGGAGTAGGAATATGGCACAGTGCACGCGGTCGCGGTCGGTCATTTGCATGTAGTCGTATATGACTTCGAGAGATTTGATCCACTCTTCGGCTATGGTGGGGTCGGTTCCACCGTGGAATTTGGATGGGTTCATTCGGAGGAATCGTTCGTATATAGCTTGAGGCGCGTTATTTTGAGGCCGTTTGGTTACGTCGGAGAAGTTGTTTGATTTGACGTTGGTGGTTTTGGGCTTGTTCACGGATTAAGTTAGAGAGATTATTAATGGTTTGATTGGGATCTTGTGGTTCATCGGCGGAATTGCTCGGGTTTGCTCGGGTTATACGTCTCGCCATTATTTCTATATTAATTACCATTAATAAGTAAAGCAAATAAAATACATAAAGAAAATAATACACATACTTTACCGAATGGTCCGAGCTTCGCGTCTCGAGTAGTCTCTAAACCCGTGAAGTTCGTACGAGTATCTATGAACCATGCTCTGATACCACTCTCTGTGGCACCCCCCTTCTAGTCGGGCGATAAATCGAACCGGTTTATCGGAATATTCATTAAACTAGCGGAAGCAAAGGATCTCTTTGTAATTTTTTAAACATTGGAATGGGGCGAAAATGCAATTATCAAAAATCACTTCTTTTGGGTAATGAAAACTTTGCACTTTCGAAAACTCTATTAGGTTACTTTAGCCGAATAAATGCTTTGATTAGAAATAAGTTTCAAGGGGAGGTTTTTCGTTCGGGTGTCACAGTATTACTATCGGTTTTCGGTTCGACAAGAAATCAGAGGTTTGAAGGGTTATTTTGGTGAATAATTCGGAAATCACTAACGGAGGCATGAAAATAGCAAATTACGAAACTTACTATATTATAGTAGGGGTTAAGTACGATTCATAACGAAAATGAGTTCAAAAGGTACGAAAAGAAAATGTTACGGTTTAATATTACATCACCAAAGAAAACCCAAATTATGGCATCGTTCATAGGTCCTCGTACGTCTTCCAAAATTCCGGGCAAGACCTCGATCCAGTACTCGATCCATCCCGGTTGAGGATTACTTCATATTGCAATTAAAAGACGTCTATATGAGCTATAGCTCAGTAAGAAATCCGAGTAATATCGAACTTTGGAAATACGTTATACATAATATATAATATTATATACCCATTCTTACCCACGTTTCGTACAACAACACAAGGCAATCGATAATATTGCATAACTCACGAAAGCACACTATTCACACAAAATCACGTACTTATGCAAAATGACTGAAATGCCCTTTCTTTTGTGAAAATCATGAAAAACACATTTTTCGTCTTATGCAAAATCACTATTTAACATCAAACCATGCTTGAAAAGCAAGTACCCATTTTTCACATTTCATTTAATGAATTTATTACCACTTATAGGTAATAATCCATTTCAATAAATTTTCACAGCCATTAAACCACATCCAGCAGCAATTAAAAGTACAAAAATACCAAAACTCATCACTCATAACCATTAAATCAAAACATAAACATTAAGGCACAAAACATATATAAATGACATGCAAATTATCCTAGTTTCGAAATAATAGCAAACTAATTCCAAACATTCTCAAATTAAATCCTAGAACTCCTAACTGATCCAAATTTCAGATTCTGAAATTATTTTAAATATTTACAAAGTTTCGAATTTTCTTGAAATTAAAAACTAGGAAAATCCCTTTTTCAATTTAAAAATCCAAAACTCTAATATAACTCTAATTGATTTAAAAACTTGGTAGATAAAACTTTTTCCTATTTAGTACTAGCTGGAAAACAGATCCAAACTTTAAAAATGAGAGATTTTTTTTTTGGAAATTGCAGTTTGGACCCAAAAGTTTCAAGATTTATACATGCAACCACACTAGAAGTTCAATTTCCACTTTTTCATGAAAACCCCTAAGAAATCTGAAATTCCACTTTACTAGATGCAGAAAATGAAGTTGAAAAGTTACTTTATGCAGAAATTTCGGAAATTACACATTTTACCCCAAAATCTCTAGATCTACACATGCAAGCCTACTAGAATTTCAAAAATCGATTTTTCTTACAAAAACTCCTTAAATCCGAATTTTTTGTTCAATAAATGCTGGAAAACAGTTTTGAAACACTTTTAGGACTGACTTTACAAAAATTACAGATTTGACCCAAAACTTTCGAAGATCTACACATGCAACCACATAAAAGTTCAAAAATTCATTTTTCTTGAAACCCCTTTTTGAAATCCAAAAAATTTAATGCTTTTGGCCAATAAAAGTTGTATCTACCAACTATCAACATAGATGATGCATGCAAGAACAAGAAATTAATAAGAAACACTCATTTTCCATTTTTCTCCAAAAAGCCCTAAATTTTCGAAATCATTCCCAATCTTTTAAAATTTTATGAAAACCCTTTCAATACTATTGATGTCCTTTAATTGCAGCAAGAAATCGAAATTTCTTACCTTAAAATCGAAGAAAGAAAACAACTGAAGGAAGAGAGGCTTTCAAGCACCGAAGTCCAACCAAGCTACCTTGATTGTGAATGAAATGGTGTGAGCTTCAAGGAGGGGTGAGTTGTGATCTCCCGAAAGGAGACAAGTGGTTTTGATAGTGTTCTTGGAGTAGTCTAAGGCAAGTGTTAAATAAGGAACTCTCATCTTATTTTGGGAATTTCTTTGAAAATGTGAGGTGAGGTGGAGAGAGGAGAGGCCGATGATGGTGGTGATTTGCTTCGGTGGGTAAGGGAGAGGAAGACAAGCAATGGTTGAGGTGTTGGAAGAAAAAAAGATGAAGGTGTCTCTTCATCTTTCTAAGTAAGGTGGAGTGTGGGATTAGTACTAATCATGGCTAAATGCCAAGTGGAAAGACATGCACAATTTCTTAATTTCCTTTATTTAAATTAAAGCACAACTTGCACTCTCACACACACACACATTTCGGACATATATATATATATATATATATATATATATATATATATATATATATATATATATATATATATATATATATATATATATATATATATATACTCAAATATGTATGATGCATGTAATAGTATGTATGCATGCACAAATTATTCATATGTATGTATGTGTGTATGTACGTATACATATATATATATACATAATCCACATAATTTACCAAGTTTCGAACATATAAAAATAATTTACCAAATAAATAAGATACGCAATTATTCACATAAGTCACGTAATTCACGAAATTCCTAGAATTTTAATTTACGAAAATTTAAATCATATAAATCACACATATAATAGCGCACGTAATCATTCACGTAAGTCACATAATTAAATTCACGTAATGTATATAATTCATATTACGTATTAATATTATTCTAGGGTTCTCGAGTTAGAAATATTATTCCCGGGTTTTAGGGTTTTCGGGTTTTGGAAAGGTGGGGTGTTACATAATCGACTACCAGAGCATGGTCGATTAGCTTAATTGACTATTGAACATGTACATAGTCGATTAAGATTCCAGTCTGCGCAAATCTCTCTACACGCGCCGTCCTCCGCCCGATCCACCAAAAAACCCTAAATATGCTTCCCCATCGTCACCACACCGTCACACCACACAATTCAACCAATCCAAGAATAAAATAAATAAAATAAATAATTCATATAAAAAAACACAAATTAGCATTTCAATGTCCACGAAAAAAAGAAAAAAAAAATAAGAACGATTCAAAGGTATTTGTCAACCATTGTTGGTCACTCCATAAACAATTCCTGAGCACATGACAAAACCAACACTAAAAAAATAAGAAAAGTAAAAAAAAAAAAAAAACTTCATCAACAATTTATGTTGATTCTCCTCCGACGACGAGTGCTTCTTCTTCTTTCTCAACAACTTGTTCTTCTTCTTCTTCCTCCACACGCCGACGGGGTGGAACATGTTGTTGAGAAAGAAGAGTGTTTCTCTTCCAACCCCCGATACGTTTAAGCCCCCCCTCACAAATGATTCTGGCCTCGCCACTGGCGGCAGCGACGGGGAGAAGATTGCCGGAGAAAAAGAAAAAAGAAAAAAGGAGAGAGAAGAAAAGAGAGAAGAGAGAAAACAGAGAAGAGAAAAACGAGAAAGCGGCGGAATGGAAAATTAAAAATAAGATTAGAGTTTTGAAAGAGTATAATAGACAATTAAGGGTAGTTTTGAAATTATGAAAATATCACATGGGTGGAATATTAACTAATGGGGTTTTCTCTAATTATTTTTGGGAGGAAGTGTTTCCTTAACTATATTTCCTAGATGGAAGATTTTATCTAATGTTCCCTTAGCTAGTTCAAACAATTATATAGATGGATTGATTAAACTAATCATTTTCGTTGATCCATTTTATTAGCTTGCATATAGAGTATTAAGTTGGACCCAATTGGACCAAAATAAAGTTAAGAAGGGGTTTGCCTGAAAATTTTAATTGAATAAAAAAAACAAGAAAGGCTGCTCCCTTAATCCCAGGCTGCCTATAAAATAACCCTTAGCTTTCACGTACAATATACAAAGATAGGAACAATATATATAAGAAGCCTTATTCTGCATCCTGATCCATTAACTCCAATTTCAAATTTCAAGTCATTTTTCATACAAAGAAATCAAACTACAGACACATGATAATTAAGTAATATTTTAGAAATCAGAAAGTTGCATACAGAGAGTTTTATTAAGCTTGAAGGAAAATCAAAACGCAAAAGCGCTCATTTACGAGACAATCGAACAAACAACATGATAAAAGACTCGCCCGACGCTGTCGGATACTTGGGACAATGCAGCAAATCAGAATCACGGGTTAACAAAATCTCCTCGTTTTCTTCATCTAAATATTTCAGTTTAAAACTTCCCATCTCCAACTTTAGTCTATTTGCCACTTCTTCAACAAGCTTCTCCATTTCCAATCGCAGACCTAGCTCAAATCTTATAGTGTCGTCGTCATATTTCGCCTTTACTATCACGGTATCATCCTTAATTGTCTGAACATTCAGGTGACTAGAACTGCTCTGATCAGTACTTGCTTGCCGCAAATTTTGGCGGTTGCTGCAAATATTCTTCTGCAGATATTTATCTGCTCTTTCTACCTCAAAGAGGGAAGGATTCTTTTTGTGGTTTTCGTTACATGGCCACCTATCGATGCCATACTCTCTGCAAGCGCGCTTTATTGTTGATTTACTAACTGCATTATTACACATCAATTTGGTTCTTGTTATATCATATAATTACTTGAAACTTGTTTTACAGAAAAAAAGAAGCAAGTTTTCGTAGACTCACCTCCGAGTTCCTTAGCAACATCTTTCAGCTTCGTCCCGAAATGTGGCTTGAGAGCCTCGAGTGTGAGATTTAGGCGGCCGGTTTTCTTCATCTTCTTTCCTTTCTTTATTTTCTTTGCGTTGACAGCCACACTGCTAATTAGATGTTCTGCTTGTGAAGTACTTGTCACAGAATCCATGTCACTGCTAATAGGCCTTTGTTGGTGTCCAGAATGTTGATGCTCTCTCACACTATATGGGACAAATTTGAATTTATTTTGCAGGCCGTTTATTTCTGATAAAATGAGTTCATCTTCTCCAGGAAACACAGGAACTTCGATTGCTAGTTCGTCTCCTAATTGTTGGCCCGATGCAATCGTAAAGCTTTTAAGATACCTCTTCAGTATGGGTATTAGGAAGTTCAAAAGGGACAAAATATATTCGTATTTTCCAGGACCTTGGTTTAGAAAGAACTCTAATACGTATACGAGGTTTCCAGTGTGTGTACTTTGCAAACAAATAGCAAAACGACTACCTATCCTCTCATTTTGCGTAAAATGTGCTAGGCGTTGCTCAACTATGCTAAAATGACATGAAGTTCGAAAAAAACATGACTTATTTTCCGATGCTAATACCATCCCTGTAATCCCCTTTCTGGTGTGTATATGACTAAACTCAAGCATCGTCGAATAAATAGATTCTTCAAGAGCTAATTCTTGCATGAAATCTGTCAATTCCATGCAGTTCAAGCTAATATCTTTTTCAGATGGACATCGGGTGCAAGTGGCCCAAACCTGTACCATATGCAGTTGGGGAATCTTAATGACCACTTTAAGGGCTTCTTTTATTTCACGCAGTGCCAGTTTTCGCCTATCAGTAATCTAAATTTAACATATCAACATTGTTAAAAAGGGGGAAAAAAAAAGAAGAAAAAAAATATATAAAAGCAAAGATACGTGATTTACATCGGTTTGCATGTGACTAGCTTGGAAGCTGACACGCAGGTTCGCTGCCTGCAGAGAGTTGACATTGTTTTTACTTTATAAATGTAAGAAAATATTGAAGTCTCCGCTTATGTGAGAGAGAGAGAGAGAGATATCAAAGAGTACCTCCAATAGTTCGTTGACGTATTCAAAGGGAAAATCAGCAAATTCAAAAAATTCTAGCACCCCAACACACTCCTCCCAATCAAATCATAAGATTTAATTAAAGCGTAAGATTTGAATCAATTAAGCGCAAGTCCTTTTAATTTGTAAATAGTATTCAAGATTTGAATCGATTAAGTTTAACCATTGACAAAAACATATTAATCGAGTTAAGTGTTTATAATTAAACTCTAATATCCTTTTAATTCAATTTTAACAAAAAGATAAAAAATAAATTAATTTATAAAAATCGTAAGAATCAAATCGTAAATCGCTAGATTTAATCTAACCCGTAATACTTGAATCGATTAAATCTTACGATTTACGATTTGATTCTTACGACTTTTTTGAATTAAATTTTATTATTTTTTTAACGATAAAATTCAATAAAAAAAATACTAAACTTTAACTACTTTAACTATACATAGTTAATTCTATTAATATGCTCTTATAAATTGTTAAGCTTAACTGCACCGATTCAAACAGTTGAATATCGGTTATGAATTAAAATGACTTCAGCTCAATCGACAGTGAGTTGAGTTGAGTTTACTTCTTAAAATAGGAGGTTAGTGTAACATAAGTGATAGTACAAAGGACAAAAAAATAATGAAATATATTTTACCCTAAATATAAAGGCACACCTATTTTAATATGGTAGTCAAATCATGTTAAAAGTGTTGAAATGTTTTAGTTTAATTATGGAAAAGTAAGATGAAAGGGATTTTTAAAATGCATAATATTTGAATTCCTAAATGAGAAAAAAAGAAAAATGTAAACAAACATAACTTCGTAGTTTTTAAAGTATATATCTTGCCAAAATATTTAATTTTGACCATCAATGGGCAAATCAACCCACCAAATTTTGTTTATATAGAGACACATACTTACTTATTACAAATTAAGTAAAATATATACCTCTGATTCGAGAATACCGCTAACAAGAACGTGGTTGGCGTGAGCAGATCTGAACCCCTTAGACTGCAATAATTTGAACAAGTATATTATATATATGTATTAATAACATCCGAACAGGTTTTGGTTAATTCCAATATAATTTGCAGACTTAGCATACAAATTGTGGTGAACTAAAAGATAATAATAAAAAATAAAACCGTATAGAAATGTACCAATAAAAAAAGTGAAATGTGACTCATACGATGATAGCCAAAGGATAAGAACTCCAAGACGCCATAATAATGTTGGTTGTTATTGAAATCAAAGATGGGTATGGCCATGTAACCTCTCAGACCGCACTGTGCAGCATGATCGCGAAGTTGGAATTCAGAGGTAGAATAGAGACGCAAGTCAGGGCTGAATTCAGGGTGCTTGCTTCGGTAAGCCCTTCCAACAGCTCCCATTTCCGTATTATATCGGTGGTAATTCAAACATTTTTTCCTATACCAACAATACCCTTTATATAGATCATAACCAACAACAGCAAAAGGTTGGTCTGAAGTAATGAGGTAATTAACTTGTTCCCCTTCCTCTTCGGCTGCCCAAAATTGTATCATATAATTACCCCGATAGAAAGACTCTGACATAAATTGCTGGAGAACTCGTTTGACTATCGCATTGATTTCACTTTCAGATTCCCTCCGAAAAACCCATCCACATTTTTCTCTAATTGATGACAAATCGTCGGCGGCGTTCAAGTAGTGTTTGAATTCAGACTCAGAGTACGTTTCATCAAATCCATCCAATCCCGTAACAATTGGCAACAAGTACTCATCATCATCTTCTAATTCGACCATCCTCTCTTCCATGTACTAAATTCGAGAACTCGCAACACACCCTATCTTTCTCACCCTTGTTTGCTGATAAAAAAAAAATGAACTGTATATGTTCAAAATGTGTAAATGTCTCTATATTAAAATAATTTCTTCAAAAACAAAAACAAAAACCAAAATCGTCCCCACACGGTTATACAGTCAAATTCTTTGACCAATTGAATGGTGTAGAACGGACTTCCACTATTTATGATAGTGTAACAGGGCCAAAAAATATATGGGCAATGTTTGGATGCACTCTTATTTTGTTTTCATTCATTCTACAAAACAAAATTGTATTTATTACACTTTTTAAATCATTTTCTCAAAACCATATTATTTTTTTTCAAAATATTTTTTTCCTATAAGAAACAAACAAAAGAAATACATAATTTTCGCAAAAAACAAAATAAAAATAAGGGCTAATATGCCATGAGCCCCTCAAAAGAAACTTAATTTGAACTAAATGACAAATCCAAATTCAATCTTTTAATTAAATCCTTAATTTTAAATAATATATGAGTCACATCCCTAATTTTTTTTAATCCCTATCTTGCCTTTATACCCTAAATTATATAAACCTAGACATTCACGGCAATTGAGATTTATTTTTCTTCTTTTTGTTTTCTCTCCCTCTCACACGTTCTCTCTCTCCATCTTCCTCTCTCTCTCACACGTTCTTTCTATCTCCCCTTTCTCTCTCTCGTTCTTTGCTCTCATCTTTCTATCTTTCTCTTATTCTTCAGTAGTTGCACGAAGGCAACCACCGCCGGCAATGGAGGGAGCAGGAACACGGGCGGTGGATCGAGAGAGTGTGGTGGAGGTAGCGGCGGTGGGTGGAGATGGCGGCGGCGGCGGTGGGATGAGGCGGCGGCGTCTGCGTCGGGTGCAGGCGACGACGGGTGGAGGCGGCAACGGCAGGTGGAGGTGTGGTGGGGGTGGTGATAATGGTTGAGATGTTATGGAAAGTATATTTTTTACTAATAAATTGGATTTGATTTCCTTGTTTTTTGAAAGATTTTTGCTTGATTTGGGTTCAAATGTCAGATCTAGGGTTTCCCAAAGTTGGTAGATGACTATAGTCGCGGCGGCTGCGAGCGTGGGTTGCTAGGGTTGGCGGCGGCTGCGTTGGCTGCTAGAGTTTGTGACGGCTTGGTGGCTAGGATTTGGTAGTAAAGTATAGTACACTGTAGTATACTATACTACACCGTAGTATACCATAGTACATCACTACACTATAGTATACTACAGTACATCGTAATATACCATAGTATACTATAGAAAATTTGAAAAATATGTAAACTGAAAAAAAAAAAATATAGCATTTTTT